TTTTTGGAACAAAATTTAACTTGCAATTTACTTAAAAAGTGAGTCTAAATGAAAAAAAAATTTGTTTTTTTTTCAAAAATTTTCTTTTTTTATAATCTACAAATTTTACCCTCTGGTTAAGCAAAAAAAAAAAAAATTTCGATCCACCCTAGTATTTATGTATTTATATATGTATAGGTTTTTTTCATCTAAATTTTCATTAAAAAAAAGGGAAAAATGAGCAAATGATGTTTAATTTCAGCTGGTCTAGCCTTCCACAACCAGCAATCACTGCAACAACAAACGTTCGCTACCACACTCACACACATGCATATACACACATATGCACTGTGGCTTGCGCCGTTTACTCCAGCGTTTGTTCGCCCTGTAGTTTTGAACTTTTCATGAACAGCACTTCAACTCTAACACAAACACACGCAACCACCCGCACGCACACATACATACATACATACAAGCATAACTGCAAGTGTGCACTGTTGCCATTTGGTAAAGGTCATTTATTATACTGGCTTGACACCTTCTTTGTGTGCTGGCTGGCGTGCCTTGTGTGTGCTTCGACTGCTTATGCATTGTTGTTGTTCGCAACCCTGAAATCCTGAATTGCCAGACAATTGCGCTCGCCGCACGGCCAACCACCCCTCGAGCTGCTAGCATTAAAAGCTCTTTAGTTTGTTTTCTTTGTTGTTGTTGTTTGTTCGTTTTCTTGTCTATCCAAATCTCTATGCTTCACTTTAATGTGTTTTTGTTGTGCCTTTCCTTGCTAATGGCTTACTTTTATTTTAAGTTTCTCAACGCCTTCCTCCCTTCGTGCTTTCAATTTCTCTGCTCACTCAGTTTATTGTTTGTCTGTGTGTTTTTGATTTTGTAGCCCGACATCAAGCGCAACTCTCCAGTGTTTACCCAAAGTCAATAATATTGATTTTCTTTTTCTGCTTGCTTCTAATCTGCTGATTGCTTCGTTTCGGCTTCAATTGGGTTTCGTTTACTTTAAACAGCATTTTTATAGCATTCAACAAATTTGTTTATGTAAACAATTGGATTTTATTGAGTTTATTGCCTTTGTGTTTTGTAAATTTGTCGTGTTTGTTTTCATTGTTGCCAAGTTGTTGACGGTATCCGTTTTCCGCTGGTTGTGGCAGTTTGAAGTGACTTTCTGATGGCGAACACACTCTGTTTATGCGAGTTAATTTTGTATAATTTAGAGTTTTATGGTAAATTAATTGCATTAATATGACTTCAGAAAGAGATATGTATTTTGAGAGCCAATCGGTAGATTTCTGAAAAAATTTCGTAGCGACATGCATTGCCGGCTATACGCTGCGCAAATGAGGGGCGCGTAATGGTTTATAGCTACAGCCATGCCTCGAAACTTTAAGCCTTGCACCAGTGGGGGCAGCCACTAAGCAATCTTACAAAAGTTGAACCCAATAAAAAGTCGCAAAAGCGAGCTTTTTCAAACAGGTGATCTCGTTTTTAACTAAAAAACCGTAAATTAAATTAATCCTCTTGCTTTATCAAGTTATTCACAACAACAAATTTTAACTTTTTATTAATATTTTTTCATTACGAATTTCATAGTCGAAATTCTTGTTAAATTCTATTTTTTTAGACCAACAGAAGCTCTTCATTTGCAAAAGTGTCGCTCACAGATTTTCGAACTTTTTTTTACTGAGGCCATTAACTAGGTATTGGACGGAGAAAAAACAATTAAAGTGAAAATTGCAAAAATTTCTCGACTTTTTTGTTTTTAAATAGTTGTACTTGAACAAAAAAAAAACAACCCTCGTTCAAGAGCTTGTAAATTATTTCTCAAAGACCTGTGTAAAATTTCATTAAGATCAGTTGAGTAGTTCGTGAGAAATCTTGACAACCGACTTTGAAAACAGAGTTTCGAGAAAAACGCGTTTTAAGTTATTATATAGCTGACCTCGAGCGCGCAACTTTTCAAAGCTGTATCTCCAAAACTATTACTGGTATCAACTTGAGAGTTTAGGACAATATTCTAGACATGCTATAGAATTAAATAAGACAATAAAAAAAATTTTTTGTAGCCTTGAAACCCATGTAACCCCTTAACTAACGTACTAGCAATTCCGCAAAGTGCTTTTGTAGTGAAATTAAGTTTTGCCGCATATATTTGCTTCATACTTCTTATATTATATCACTCAAACATCAAAATCAGCACAATGAAAGCGTTTCAGCGCCTAAAATTATGCTTCGTATTCAGTAACTTAATCAATGCAAGCATATATTAGTCAAGTGAAAGTCAAGTAAAAATTCTTAAAATTGAAATAATAAATTATTCTCACGCACAATATAAACAATTTGGTGCCAAAAACTATTATTCCACATACCAAAACCACAAATCCACACTCATTTTTTTTCGACTGCATGAAATGCTCAGCATTTCCACACCATCACTCACCAAATTTCTGTGCATTTTCAACGCTTTTGTCGCGTCACCGCATTTGCAGTTACACCAACTCACTGAAATTGTCGCGTTAGCATAAATTATTATAATTATGGTCCAAGCAATTTAGATAAGGTCGATATGGTTATGCCAAGTGCCCATAAGCGCATACCACATGCACATGCTGACATGCTACGCAGCTTCGTAGCACCCATTACATACATGCGGTCTTGTGTGTGCAAGTGTATGTGTGCGCGCATAAAAACACATTTGACATTTCGCCGTCATAACAATTACACAAAATTGTTGGCAATAAAAGTGTGTGAGACAGCAACATTCGTGCATGTGCGGTACTCGCTCGGTTAATATCGACGGTTACAGCAGCAAAACGAACGTCAGTTAGCGCCATAAAAGGTTTTTGTTGTTGTTGAAGTAAAATACATACATATGTATATGTATGAGCGCCGTGCATGCCTGTAGTGTAGAGTTGCTATGAGTTTTCGAAAGGCTCACGATTTTTCGTGCAATTGGAGTTCACTTAATTTTTGTTGCTGCATTACTCTATTTAAAAACAAATTAAATTTAAAATTCAAGAAATTTTCGAAATTCCTTGTGCTTCCCTCGTTGGATGTCAACACGCTGAAATTTGAGAACTTCGTTCAATTAGTAGAAATAATATTTGAATTTCGTAAATTAGCTGCATATTTTGAAAACTTTTAGAATGTCGCGCTACATTTAGCACATTTCTAGACTAACTTATGCAATCAAGCAACACAATCGCTCACTTTTTCACCACCTTCATCACTCTGCCTTTTGATTGTGCCACCCGAAACAGCAGGTGCTTCACGCTGAGCGCCAACAAAGCAGTTTTCAGCGGCAATTAAGTGCCCTAATAGGCAGCGATTTCTTGCTTCAAATAATTAATTGCTTTTCAACACAAACAAAGCGCGCTGTGGAGCCTGTGGCGCATACGCCAGCCAGCCCTGCCACTTCACACATCATTCACACACATACCATTAGTTGTGTGCAAGCGAAGTGTGCGCGTGTGTGTAAAGTGCTTGAACACACCAGCTATATTAAGGCATATGTCGAAATTTATTTATTGAAATAAAAAACAAAAAACAACAACAAATTGCAATGCAAACTGCAGCATCTGTAGGTGGTGGCAATAAAATTCAGAAAAGCGTAAAAATAGCGCTGATGTGCAATGCTGATTTGCAGCACGAAACTCCGGTGCCAGTCAGAGACGACTGCTTTTTTTTAAATTTTGTTGCTGTGTTTATTTTTTGGGCCACACTGAGGCGCATTCATGATTCATTAAAAACTTCGTTTCACCATTTTATTTGCTTTGGGGTGTTTATTTTACGAGATATGCCTGTTGCACACATTAATACAAACATACCTACATAGCTCCTCATTCGTAAGCCGCATTTGCTGGTCGCGGAAGCGCAGCGCGCGGCCTCACAGTTCACGCGGCCCAAACACCTTATAATTCGATGTAATTGCGCGCATTCAAACGGACTGTCGAAAGTCGCTAAAGTAGTGTAAGTGCACTAAAGTATGCATACGTGTGTGTGTGTGTGTGTGTGTGTGGCATGCAGCTATATGCAAGTGCAACGCGTACATATGCTTTAAGCAGCCAAAAGGTGCGCATTCTTCAGCCGACGTGGCATGCAACAGTGCGCTTATTGATTTTGGCATTCTTTACACTTCATTTCCGAATACTTCAACCGAGGCGTTTAACGCGGCAATGGAATAATTCAGCAGCAGCAAGCGCGCGCGCGTTCGCTAGAAGATGGTGGGGTTAAAGGTAGTGGAGTTGAACGCGCGTCCTCACTGGCTTCACTTGTAGCGCGGCACATAAAACGCACACATACAACACTGATGTAAAAGTAAAATATGCCTGTATGTGTATGTATGTTTTTGGATGCGCCATATCGCAGCCTATGCGAATGGCTAAAGTAAATAAGCTGGCCAGCCAAAAGAACAACGCGCTATGAGTAAGCGGTGGCAGTCAGCGCTTCATTAGGCAGCATTTAAGTATGTCGCGCACGAATTTGCATATACTAAGGACTGTATGTGACACACGCAGATATGTTGAAGCATTTAAATATATTTAGCTACCACTGTTCACTCTATTTGCGTTTCACTTGAAGCGCTTGTAACGGATTCTCGAGAAGCGCTACGCCGCATCCCGTGTACAGTGGCGTTTCGGGGAAGCGCGTCCAAATGCATAACAAATACATACACATAAATATATATTCAAGCTTACAATACATATGCATTGTAGTGGCTCACTAAATACTTAAATATATGTAAATTAAATTTTACCGAATTTATCTTGCCACAAAAAAATACAATGCAAGCGGTGATAAGTTTCTCTTAGCTCGCTGCTCATCTTATCTTCCTTTACTATTATATTTTGTTGGTAGACGAATATCACTGGAATTTTTAATAATAATACAAATATTTACACTTCCATTAACAGGTTTGCATTTATTTAGTTTCTTAATAATATAATGCATTAATTATTTTTATTTTTATTTGCTTTGCATACAAATATTTACCATGCCTCAACTATTTCTTCTAGAAATGGGTCTGCGCTACTGTGAAACACCCTCGGTCGGCACTTGTTGCACGTTCAATATGGAAACGCGTTTGGCGCTGCAATCGCGCATGCAGCTGGAGAAACAGTCCAAGGAGCAGATAACGAAATTGTCAAATGCTTTGGCGGCGAAAGCGCAGAAATATAATTGTAAGTAGATGATATTAACATTTTTTGAAGTAAAACGAAAACCTTGCTATACAAGTACAATATACAATAGTACAGTCACGACTCAAATTATATTAATAATGAGAACATTCTTCTTTTTATACTCCTGCTTTTATACTATCTCCTGATAAACTGCTACTAAGTAAAATTCTGTAAATATCTAAACCCAATATGACAATTAATTACTTGACCAACTCAAACTAGTTACTTTTTCACAGCTTAGTCTATCCTTAAGGGGTTACATGGGTTTAACGGCTGCAAAAAAAAAACAAAACAAAAATCCTTGTCTTATTTAATTATATAAAATCTCTAGAAAATTGTCCTAAATGCTCAAGTGGATACCAGTAATAGTTTTGGAGATACAGCTCTGAAAACTTGCGCGCTCGTCAGGTCAGCTATATACTCACTTAAAACTATAAACGCGTTTTTTTCGAAACTGTGTTTTCAATGTCGGTTGTCAAGATTTTGCACTAACCACTCAATTGATCTTAATGAAACTTTGCACAGGCCTTTGAAATATAATTTACAAGGTCTTACCGCGGAAGATTTTTTTATATTCATTTACAACTATTTAAAAAACAAACAAGGTCGAGAAAATTTCACAAAATTTGCATGTTTTTGAAAAACGTCTGCAAAAAATACAATTTTCAATTTAGTTGCTTTTTCTCCATTCAATATCGCGTTAATGGTCTTAGTTCAAACACGTTTTTTTTTTCTTTTTATTTTTGATGATCCTGTCAGAAATTCTGCTGTCAACGCGGAAGCACCTTTTTACCGAGGGACTGTCGGAAATGACGTCGTAATGACCGAGTTTTCAATATTTGCCTTTGAAAATTTCACAAAATCTTTATGAAATATGTATCTTCGGTATAATAAGAAGTTTGAATAATATATATAATTTTTTATATGAAAAAAAAAATTATTGAAAATATTGCTCGTCTAAACTCATGTAACCCCTTACTCGATGAGCGAGTAATCGCCTTTAGAAAGCGACGAATCGAACAAAAGCTGTTTTAAATACAGCAGACTGGCATAATCGTCTAGAAATAGAATAGCAAGCGGTTCTAACATTGCCAGGAGCTATGACATTTCCCTAAAGAGCTGTGGCACAGTTTATTTGTGGTTAAATGGGTGTCAAAGATTATATAATTTTCACTAATTCAACTAATTCACAACTAGGAGTGCGCCGCTTAGTAAATCGAAACCAATTTTTTGTTACCCAAACAACGCCGCAGCATCATTTTTCAACTACACGAAAATTAAATACGCCTAGCAGAGCAAAAAGTCGAGGGCGCAAACCGAAGTCGCTACTTGAGAAATTTAAACATTACTCTGCATACGCCTGCCTAATGTTCTCTGACACGTTTAACTTGACACCCACTTGAAACGAAAATATATGGCTGAACGGCAAAGCAGGCGAGCGAGCGTAAAGAACAATGTTGCGCTTATGCATTTGTTCGCGCAACGTATCCACCCAACGGCTACACAAATCTGTGGTATGTCACATGACACGCTGTCAATATGCAGTGGCTCTGTTACCGCTGCTGCCAAGTGACTACCTAAATGAATCGTTCACTCGGTGCGCGCGGCGTGTAGCGCATGCGTAGCACTGCAACAAATTGTGGCATGCAACCACTTAACTAATTTGTTGCTGTTTACTCAATGTATGTTATTGTTGTTGCTGACGCTACATTACGCCGCTTGTTTGTGTCAACAATCTATGCGCTGGCGGATGTGGAGTTTTCCAATTATCTTCGATTAATGCTGCGCACAAGCTGAAACAGAGCAAATCTAATTTGGTATGCCCAAATAAGTAGGAAACAAATTTAAATGGCTTAATAAGCGCGTAGTAACGTTGGCGGAAGTCTCGAGTGCGCATGCGCCAATTCAAATGGTACAGGCTGTCGCGCGGCTTACTTTTCAGACACGAAGAATATTTGTTTGATTTAATAGAAAATTTTTTTCATTTCTTTAATTAACGCAATTTCCGTTTTGTGATTGTTTTTTTTTTGTTTTTGTTTTGGTTTTTTTTTTTTTTTTTTAAATAATACTAAATTAATCTTATTAATTTCTCTTGCCTTTATTTCAGCTATCTTTCGCAAGCTATTGGGCGAATCGAAAGAGGAGTTCCACAAGATGTTTACACGCACCTATGGCGTTATCTATCAGCAAAACTCCTATGTCTTCTCCGATTTGTTCAACGAATTGGAAAACTATTACAACCGTGGGCGCGTCGATCTGCTGGAAGTGATGGACAAATTCTTTAATACACTCTACCAGAAAATGTTTCAAGTGCTGAACGGTCAAACGTTTGAAGAAAAGTAAGTTTGATCGAAGCCTGCTAATATTATGCATATTTGAAGATCTAAATTTCTAAAGGCTTTTTGCGTTTATTGTGCCGTTAAGTGGTTAAGCATTGCGCTCAGCTGACAGCTTTCAGTGACATTTAGTATGATTTACATTTATTGTTATCGAAATATGATTTTTGAATTAATTTTTTAATTAGTCAACCATTTTACAAAAACCAAAAACCAAAAACCAAATAAGCCATTGACCCCGACAAGAGAACTAGTTAAAATGTATTGTGGTTGAAAGAATTAAAAAATAAAAAACGTGTGTTTAACTCTCAAGAAATAAGACGTTTTAGAATAGTACGGTAACAAACAGTGACCACAAAGAAACTGATACGCTTTCTATATATATTTTTTTTGTGGTTCGCTGTCAACAGCCCGTTGCAGACAAAAGCATTGCCACGCACCAAAAAATTACAGTATTGGCTTAAATTTCTGAAATTCACACACTCACACTTATGTACATATTTACATAGAAGTGTACGTTCACTCACTGCTGCTTGTTAACTTTGTGAAATGAAAGTGTAGAGGGAAGCAGTGATGACCAAGCTTGTCACCAAAAGTCAAGTACCGTGACAAACAGCTTAAATTACGGTTTTGATTAGTAAACGCAGCATTTATACGATATATATTTGTGCAAACGAATGTATATATATATATATGTACATATATATTCAGAAGTAACCATGAGCTTGTAAGTTTTCAAGCATAAAACCAAAAAAGTAAAGAAGTGAAAGAGTAAACGCACATGTAAGGGTCAAGTTCTGGCGGAAACAGCACTTGTTAACACACACATTTGCATGTAAATGACACGGTTAGCACATGGTCGGCAGAAAGGGTGGCCGAACCGCAACAGCTCGTGTTACCCACGCGTGCATTTCGGTTTACCAAAGTATTTAAAATTTTGCAAACAAAGCGAATAAGAATTTTTTCGCAGGCTACAGAGTAAATAACGGTGAAAAACTGACTAAGAATAAAAAAAAAGTGAATAAATGCCGCACTTGTATGTAAAAATGTTTGTGTGTATGTGTGAGCTTATATACATACGGGTGTATAGCTTCAACTGTTAGAATTTTACGCCTCTGACAGGCATTCTAGTAAAAGCTATAGACCAGAAGAGGCCAAATAGCCAAAAGTCATTTACAACGAATTTGTTAAAAGACGCGTTGACACTTCGGCTCATAGTACAACAACAAGCATATTATAACATACAGTTGTTTACTTCAGCATATATTCATGCTCGTTCAATTGGCGAATGCACACACACATATAAACACAGTATGAAACCAAGCACACCTCTTTTATAAGCAAATAAAAGCGAAAAATGGCCGGAAGCGCGCTGACTGGGCCAACAAGCCGCGTTCAAATGATCTTAAGCATACAGAGAATGCACGCGCACACACATACATACATACATATGCATGCAGTATATTCTGCTACAAAATATCGCCGTTATTGTGCCAACACACCGCAGCTCCTCTTTCACTGGCTCTCTTTAAATACTTTATAAATGCGCGCAGTAAAGTTTTATAGCTTTGGAGGCGGCGTTGTAAATATGTGCACTGCAACGATAATAATATCAACAACAACAATAGCAGCAAAGCAGCTAGCAAGTACAGCGCAGACCTACAAGTGCTACGAGCATTTTGCACACACACACACACACACACACACACACACACACACACAGGCATATATAGTTAGCAACATGTGACTATATAAGCTAAATGCTGCACTTTTTCACACCTCCTAGAAATTATTCGATATTACATACATACATACTTACATGCATAAATACAAAGTATTGTAGCAAGATTGCCTGCGTCAGCAATTCTCTACATCTTTATTTACATTTTTGTTTGCACTTAAAATTCTTACAATCAGCGCTTTATTGCCAACCCTTTTGATTTAATATTCATCCTTTGTTTACTTTACATTATTTTATTGTTGTTTTTTTCTTTTTCAAAGAGTTTAAGCGCAAACTCGAAGCACGTATCTTACTCTGTTTTCACTTAAGCTTTCGTTCCTTCTTTTTTATGCATGCGCTTAAGCGTAGTTGAGGCATGCTACCGCCCAAAGGCAGCAGAAAATTATTATGACATTCAAATTATCTTTATTTAAAAGCAATAATATTGAAAAAGGCACGGCTGACCTAAGAAACGACTTCAGGTCCTGTTGAAGCGTGCTGAAATTCTCACAAAACCTAAATTATGGAAAAAGTGGTTTTAGAGCGTAATTAAGACGTAGTCAGGCGTATAAAAAAGTCGTTGGGTTTTACCAGCGGAGCCACAAAATATGTAACAGAAAGCTGTTCCCGGCTAGCATATCATTTCAAAGTTCTTGCGAAAGTAATTTTTGTAGCGCACTTTCTCGACAACGCCGTTGAATTACCGCTATTACTATTACTAAATACAATTATTATTATATTATTATATATTTTTTCTATATTTCAGATTTCTAAAATGCGTCAGCGAACATATGAAAGAACTGAAACCCTTCGGCGATGTGCCCGATAAATTGGCTGTACAAATCAAACGTTCCTTTGTGGCGACGCGCACCTATTGGCAGGCGCTGCATACCGCCGCCGAAGTGTCCAAGAAGATGATGAATGTGAGTAGCGATACAAGAGCAAAACAATACAGTAGTCATAGCGAAAGTTATGCGTTACGCTTGCAAATGAAAAAAAAAAAAACGATTACTTATACTTTTCTTCCGCTACATAGGTTCGCCTGAATGCCGACTGCACGGCCGCGCTTACGAAAATGCAACACTGCGGCGCCTGTAAGGGCTATGCGGAAAAGCCTTGCACAAATTACTGCGTCAATGTAATTAAAGGTTGTTTGCACTATGTGCACGAATTCGACACGGAATGGGAGAATTTCGCCATCGCCATGGACAAAGTCGCCGAACGCTTGCTGGGCTCGTTCAATATTGTCATGGTTGTCGAGCCGATTAATATCAAAATCTCCGAAGCGATTATGAATTTTCAAGTGAGTTGAATGAACTAGTCGATATAAGATTGATTAAACCAACACAGATATAATATTCGATATTTCTATAAGCATATACATATATGGTATGTATATATTATATATGAAGTATATATGAATATGTGTAAATGAAACACCACATTAGTTAAACGAAATTCATTGAGAAAAGTTGTAAATTTAAATCATATTCAAACGTTAAAATCGAATCCCATAAAAGTCGTACTTTGAAGTGTGTTGCATAAAGTTTTGAGAAAAGCAAATAAATTTTGGATTTAAAAGCCGGTTTTAGATTTTAGTTGGGCATAAAAACCATAGCATAAACACCTCAGAGAGTTGACAAATTTTATGCTTCGATTTAATGGCGCTTTATTAATGTAACTAGTTTAACTGTTTTCCTTAATGAATTTTTATTGACCATTAAATCTTCTAATTTTATTTTGAAGCTTGTTAAATTATAATGAAGGATTTGAAGCTTGATTTGATTTGCTGCAAGATTTGCTTTTTGATAGAAACGAAGTGTTCATAATAAAAAAACTTAATTTACCGAAATATTAGTCCATTAGCCCACTGTGTTTATAAGTTTTGACATTTCTAAATAACTACGATTATTTGACTCCTTTAAAATTATTAATTTTCCAGAATCCACCTTGTAGAGAATTTAATAAAATCTTAACACAAAACTCATCCTGAAATATGCAAATTTAGTTCTTAAACCCTCGGCTGCTGTTCCATATTGCCCTATTTTAACTAGTTGTTAGTTCTAGTTAGAATACTACTACATATATACTATTTTTCAAAAAGGCTTTCACATTCAAATATTGGTGCGCAACAAAGTTTCCGCTGTTTGTCAATAGATGGCTCCAGCAGTTGGTTGTGATCGGTATCCAAAACGTGATAAACTTAACCCAGACATTGCTCGCTGAGGGTTCGGTCATACACAAGAAGAGCTTGCTTCAGCGACAAGCTTTTTCAAAGCGACGATATGTGCTGGGAATAATTCAGAAACAAGGAACTTGCGTTTCTTATGATTCGAAGGGACGTCGTAACGGCTGATGAAAAGTGAATTCATTAAAGCAATACAAAAAAAACCCAAGGGACTGCCCAGTCATGCTTCAACGCTGTTGCCTCGGCCGAATATTTACGTTGCGAAAGCTAGGCTGTGTATTTGATGGTACCAGGGCGGCTTTATTTATTATGAGCTGCTGAAACCAAACGAAGCCATTATTGTGGAACGTTATCGACTTCAATTGTTGCGTTTGAGTTGAGCACTGCAGATAAAGCAACCTCAATACCAGGCGAGGCACAAAAAAGTGATTCTGCTACATGATAACGCTCTGTCTCACGCTTAAATGGAAAGTCCTACCCCAGTCGCTATGTTCGCCAGGTATTGCACCTTCTACTTATTACTTGTTCCATTCGATGGCACATGGGCTGACTCAGAAGCAGTTCCACGCACAAGATAACATTCCTTGATTCTTGGTTAGCATCACAAGATGCACTGTTTTACCGTAATGTTTTTCGAGCTTTGCCAGAAAGATGGGACTGGGTGACTAGCGATGGGCAATACTTCATATAATTCAGTTGTAACCATTTTCTTACAATAAACTTGCATCTTCATTTAAAAAAAATTTAAATTTCCGCTGCGCATGCGCATACTAAATCGTTCCAAAAACGCACAAGTTTCAATTGTCGAATCAAATTTGACTGCTTTGTGTTTTGGCCGCGGGTGCGCAGTGCGTGCTAGTTTAATGTCTTCACGGTAGCGAACACCCATTCGGTCGTCAATGTGTTGTCGCTTGAAGCAAATCAAAGCTTTTATCGCTGCGGATGCTATTGCTAACGACATCGCTTTGAACTCCGTTTGCTTTAGCTGCTTTCGCGGAACTTAGTATAAATAAAATTTATATATTTTCGATTTTCGCTTAATTAACATTTCAATTTATTGCTGCTTGGCGCTTACGCGCCCTGTGGCGTTGCTCGCCTAATTTGCGAAATTTAGCTGCGCTATAATCAATTTCCATTTTTCTTTTTATTTCTTTAACTTTAGCTCATTCCATTTAGTTAAACATTCAAGTCTCTAGAAATTGTTTACACTAAATTTGCTAATTAAAATTCTAAATTCGAAGCTTTCAAGTTTCGCAAATTTATTACACCGCCTCTGTTTACAAACCCAACGTGTGTCAGCTGCTTTCATCGTCTCGGGCAGAAGTTGCCATATTGACTGGCTGAGTCAGAACAAATTAAATTGCTCCGCTTCATTTTACTTTAATTTATTTTAACCTGTTTCTCAGTTTTATTGAATGTTTGCGTTGTTTACTTTTATTGTGATTTCGTTTCTGATTTTATTATAATTCTGGCGTGTGTTTGGCTTTGCTCTTTGATAATTTGTTTATTTGAATTATTTGTTGTAATTAAATTTACATTCCATTCTGCCAGTTCGCGCATGAAATTTATAACCAGCGGCGCTTTTGTATTCCTGTCGTCGTTTAGATTTTCTCGCAATTTTTTCTTCAATTTTTCTTCAATTGGTGTTTATTTCTTCTTTCTCACCTTCGCTTTGATCCGTTCAATTTCGGCTTTTCTTTTGATACTGCTGTGATTTGTATAAAATTGTAAACAGAAAAACAAATAAAATAAAAATAGATCGCCGACTGGCCCACATGGGTATGCGAAATGCATAGTTTCACCGCCCCGGCGAAAGGTGTTTTCCGCAATTTGACAGCTCAGCTGTATTTTGGTATCGCTTGGTAATTTATTTCCCTAAAATTGGGTATTTATTTGCATTTGTTTACTTGTGTGTTATTTTTGGCGCGAAAATGGGTTATCCTCAAATATTATCTCCATAGACTTTCCACAAACAATTTCCAATTTCGAATTCATGGAAAAGCTCGTAATTTATTGTCAGTAAACAAGGCGCTACATTTGGTTAGTTCTTAATTTGAATAACGGTATATTTTGGTTGAGACCTTGAGAAATTTTTGTGTAGACAGATAAATCAATACTTCAAAGAAAACGACAGGTGTTGCCAATAAACACAGTAAATTTATATTAAATTCTATTCTCATTTCGAGTTTATCGAGATTATGTCGGCTGGAAGTTGAGTGTCTACCGATAGAGAAACTTAAATGGCCTTGATTTTAATGCAAATTTCAAAATGTTTTGCGAATCTCATATACGTATTGGTATCTTCACAATCACTAGTATTGGTTTAATATCGCGATTTTGTAGAAGTATTGGTATTATAATTGGCATTGAGATGGACAAATGGAAGTGTAGGCGCAAAGATTTTTATTGGTAAAGGAATTGGTATTGACTTTAGTATTGGCATTGGTATTGACATTAGTATTCGTACTGGTATGGATACTGGTATAAATATTGGTATTGGTATTGTTTGATATTAGT